GTGGCTAAGGCCAATTCCTGGAGAGAACAGAGGTAGGTGGGGTTTCAGTTACCAGGTTGGGGGGTCACAGGTAGGGACCACAGAGAGAAGAGAAGGAAGACAGGAAGAAGGGAGAATGAGAATAGGGAGAACATCTCTATTAGATGTGATGGACCAGGAGCACATGGTTGGATGAAATGTCTTGTGACTGACAAAGCAGAGATAACCCGGGCGAGACTCAAACAGTAAGTACTTCGGGAGCACAGCTGGGAATTAACCAGTCTATGGTATAAATAATTAGGAGTAATTTGCCCAGTAATTGTGGTAAAGCTGATTTTAAAGTTCCATAGGCGTCTGTCTCGACTATTGGGGGACTGGCTAGGTCATAGTAACAACTAGTAGAGTTATTAAGTTAGTAACAATTCAAAGCCATTACAGAAAGCTTGTTTGCAGTTCTGGACCTCAGTAAGAGAAAGGGAGCTTTACTAAAAATCCAGAAAGGCCTGGCTTCCAGAATCAAGACCTAATGTTAGTATATGTGTGAAAATATTGTTTGGCACATTAACAAACAAAGAAATATACATTCCCTATAACATGTTTTAACCTCCTATGTGAAGATGTTGCAAGTGGGAGTATAAGAGGTGGTGTTTTGCCAGGGTCGGGGAAGGAAGCCGGGGCTGCACGCCTGATCTACCACCAAGTTACCCCCATAATCCCTGGTGTAATTTTCTAGTGGGAATTTGGAAATAAATATCAAAAGTCTTAGAATTTGGGGCTGTGGATGTGGTTCATGGTGCACAAATTTCCTACATATGCAGGAAGTCATGGGTCCTGACCCCAGCACTGGCATAAGCCTAGGATTTAAGACTTAAGCCTGGTGGTGGTGGCACACATCTTTAATCCCAGCCTTTGGGAGGCAGAGATAGATGGATCTCTGAGTTCAAGGCCTGCCTGGTCTACAAAGTGAGTACCAGGACAGCCAGGGCTATACAGAAAAACTCTTGTCTTGAAATACTAACACCTTCCCCCCCAACAAAAAACAAAAACCCCGACAACAATGACACAGACCTTGGATTTAGGATGATGAGATGCTCAGTGAAGAGCAGCAAAAGATGTGGGAGAAGGTGAAGACGATGAACCAATGGGCAGTGGCCTCCAATGAGCCTGGGCCTGTGAGCGGATGTTAGGTAGGCAGCAACCCTTTACTGTGCATCACACCTAGCCTTCCTGACAATTGTTTAATAAACTTATTGTTAAGGAATTGTTCATTGACAATTATTCCTATAAGAAGAGGTTTGGTATACCTATCTAGAGAATTCAGCAATTTTCATGCTACTTGCATCATTCATGTATGTATGTATGTATGTATGTATGTATGTATGTATGTATGTGTACAGGGCCCCAATATGTAGCTCTTGCTATCCTAGAACTTGCTATGTAAACCAGACTGACCTCAAACTGACAGAGATATGCCTGCCTCTGCCTCCTGAGTGCTGGGGTTAAAGACATGTACTACTATGCCTGGCTGTTTGTTTGTTTGTTTTCCAAGACAGGTTTTCTCTTTGCAGCCTTGGCTATCCTGGAACTTACTCTGTAGACCAGGCTGGCCTCAAACTCAGAGATCCATCTGCCTCTTCCTCCCAAGTGCTGGGATTAAAGGTGTGTACCACCATTGCCTGGCTGCCTGGATTTTTAAAAAGTTAATATTTATTTTTGTTTGTCCATTGTGTTTTTTTTTAGATTAGGGTTGAGGTGTGGTGATGTGTTCCTGTAATACATTTGGGAAGCATTTAGGAGGCAGAGGCAGGAAGATTGCTATGAGTTTGAGGCTTCGCTATAGAGTCCAGAGACCTTGTTGGGAAAGAAAGGAAGAAAGAAAGAAAAAAAGAAAGAAAGGAAGGAAGGAAGAAAGAGAGAGAGAGAAAGAAAGGAAGAAAGAAAGCAAGAGGTGTTTTATTGTGAAATGACATTATTATAGCCAATAATAGTAACTTCCTCTTAGACTGGGTTTGCAATTAGCCTGGATATTCTGTGAGACTGTAATCCCCAGTTCTGTTACTGAACACAGTATTTAAAAATAAGGGAATTAACTAAGAGGTTAATGAAGGGAAAACATTATAATACAATGCACCTGAGGACTGGAGAGATCGCTCAGTGGTTAAGAGCTTGTTGTTGATGCAGAGGACTCAGGTTTGATTCTCAGCACCCACATGATGGCTCAGAACCACCTGTAACTCTGGTTCCAGGGGATCTAATACTTCTTCTGATTTTGACCTCTGCAGAGATCAGGCACAAACACTTGAAATAATAATAAATCTAAGAAGAAATTTTACAATGAAAAATTTACAAGAAAGAAAATTACAAAATGTCTGAGTCCTGGAAGAAAAGATTCCAGAGGAAAGACTAAATATAATAAGCAAAAACAAAACAAAACAAAACAAAAAAAAAGCAAACAAACGAACAACCAGAATAAACCCCCGGGAGCTGAGGAAGCATAAGATAATGTTTTGAATATGACAGAGGAAGCTTTTTTTTTTTTAACTTTCTGCAATTGAAGGAGAGGCATTAAAACTTAAGTGCTATTAGCATGCCTTCTAGAATTGTCTGATAATGGATTCCTGCTCCCTACAGCACTGATTTTAGGAATGCATTTGGTTTGAGCACAATTAGGCCTGATGATGGTAAGTGAGAACTTTGTTCAGGCCAAATTCTAAGCATTAGCTCACTGAGTACATTATGTAAATCATAACTCTGATTTACATTGATTGATTTCCAGGTCTTGGTTTATTTTTGATGTGTATGGGTGTTTTGGCTCCATGTACATCTGTGCACTATGTACACCTGGGGCCTTAGAAGGCTAGAAGAGGAGGTTGAATCCCCTAGGACTGAAATCTCAGACTGTTACGGGCTGCCATGTGGGTGCTGAGAGTTTAGCTCAGTCCTCTGGAAGAACAGCCAGCTCTCCTAGTCACTGTGCCATCTCTCCAGTTTTATTTTTTTTAATTAATTTATTTTATTTATATGAGTACACTGTAGCGGTTTTCAGACACACCAGAAGAGGGCATCAGATCCCATTACAGATGGTCATGAGCCACCATGTGGTTGCTGGGAATTGAACTCAGGACCTCTGGAAGAGCAATTAGTGCTCTTAACCACTGAGCCATCTCTCCAGCCCCTGTTTTATTTTTTTAAGATAATATTTATTTTATTTTGTGTGTGTTTGTGTGTGTGACTGTGAGTTATGTGTACATGTGTACCATGTGAATACAGATGCTCGAAGAGGGCAGAGGAGGGAGTTTAATCCCTGAAATCAGAATTATAGGCAGTTGTGCATCCGGTACGGGTGCTCAGAACCAAACCTCCATCCTCTGCAAGAGCAATAAGTGCTCTTAACCATTGAGCCATTTCTCTAGCCATATATTTTGGTCTCAAACTTTCCCTTAGGAACTTGATGCCCTTAATTAGCAGGAAGTAGTCTCATGATATTATCACCCCCTTCACCTCTATCCTTTTTTTCTCTCCTACCTAGTGATAGGGTATTGAAAGGGTAGAAGAAGTGGGGTGGAGAGGGTAGAAGAAAAAAGAACCCACAAAGTAGCCAAAATCTGGCTTCAAGTGGTACTTGTTTCTAACAGAAGAAAGCAAAAACCCAAACCCAACGAAACCAGCAACCACCAGTAGAGGAACAAGAGCACCCAAGCATTTGTGCAAAGCTGTTAAATAGCAAATAAACTTCAAAGTTCAGAGGCTGAAATTTGTCTAAATATTTTGCTGTTACTTTGAAGCATTATAACAAGAATTTAAGAATATATTCAGAGACCAGTGCTATTTAATGTCTTTTTCAAAACTCTTCCTATTTTCTGAAAACTCACAGCTCAGATCAAAATCGCTAAAAGGAACCTGAACCTCCGTGTGGAAGATTTCTGATAGATTACAATATGGCTAAGGACTGGGAGCCCCGTTTTGCAGAACAATGCCAGAACAGCATCGGTGGTACTGAAATCAGGCGGCGTATGTGAACATTGGTTACAGCGTGATTTCGGTAACAAACGTCTGGTTTCTAATTCTTACTAGTAACCTTGTAGCTGCCAGCTAAATGCTTCAGTTATGTCAGGAATATAGGGGCTTCATAGGAAACATTCCTTTCAGCCCAAAGTTTTTCTAACAATCAGTTGCTGGTGTTAGCTTACTCACAGAAGTTGTGGTTAAAAGGGAGACCCCAAGTTCTACCTTCAGCACAAAAAAAGGCGAAAACTTAAGACAAGAAATACTTTGGATGATGTTACTTGCGGAAATCATATCCATTTCTAAGTGATTTAAAAAAAATGGGTCTTATTGGGTAGCACTGGAACAGGTTATATAGATCAGATCCACTTGCCTCTATCTCTGGAGTGCTGTGAAGAAAAAAGGTGTGTGATTTGAAGGAGACAAACTAACCAAGGCTATTTCCGAGTTTGGTGCCTAGCCAGAATCAGAGCTCACTCATTTACTAGCGACCATGGCTTGGCAAGGCAACGTGAGCTGAAATTTAGATTTCACCTCTTGCTAGAGGTCCACCTGGTCTCCCCGCTTGGACTCCCAAGCTGAGAGCAGCAAGTGTTGGCGAGCCTAAGCCTAGGAGAGGCGCTGTGGTCCCCCACTAACAGGTTACCTTCTGGACCCACACCCGAGCTTGGGCACTCGCGGTAGGACGCAAGGACCTTATTGTCTCATTCTGCTCCTTTTCTCCCGCCCACTCCAGGTTTTGTCCAATGAGTGTCTCGGGCTCCGCTCACCCCTGCCAGGCTGCACCGCCTCCTGGCGTCTGGACTCCCGGGCGGCGATGGCGGCAGTGCGCGTGCGCGCTGACTCGCAGCTTCCCCGGAGGAGGAGCGAGCGGCGGCTCGGGAAACAGCGGCTCCGCTCTCCGGGCAAGGGCGGCGGCAGCGGTGCTGGGCGGGGCCGGGCTCAGGGCTAGTGGAGCTTTTGCAGGGGCTGTGCGAGGCTCGGTGGGGCTGCGAGGTGCTCGGGCCCGCCGAGAGGCCGTGCGCACTGAGCCGACCTCCGCGGCCACCGCGCTGCTCACTCGGAGTGACGCTGCGCCGGGGTCCCCAGCATGACCGAGCTACGGCAGAGGGCTGTCCGCGAGGACGCACCTCCGGAGGACAAGGTAGTGGCATCGTTGAGTGCGGAGGGGCGCGTCGGCAACCTCGCCCTCTGACCTTTGTCGCGGCCCTAGGCACCAGGCCTGGGCTGCGCACAGGGTCGGCGGGTGTCCTTTGCTCGTGGGGACAGCCGCCTGCGGGCGCGGGGAGCAGCGCGTGAGCTCTGAAGGGTCCTTGCTTTCCCTAGGCCTTTCTGATGTGGAGACTGGACATCCCATAGACCTTGTTTGGGGCCCGGAGAGTGCAATGTAGGCTCACCACCTGCTTTACAAATACTGCTATTAATTGGGGAGTGGGGAGACTCAGGCCATAGCTTTTGTCCCCTGGGACATTAAAACCTTCTTTTGAACTTGATTAAAACATTAAATCTGTTGGTTCTATCAGAGAGGTGTCTTGGTTCACGCGGTGAGCGGGCGGGTTAGTGAGCAGGTGTGTGCTCCCAATGGTGGGTTTGTTTACTGCGCCAAGTGTGGGCATTGATGGGGTAAAGGAGGAAGGTAAGGAGGCCATTTTGGCAGGAACACAGCCAATGTGGGGGCGCTTCTTTGGTTGAAAGTGCGAGGTTTGTGTGAAGTTGAGGAAGGTGGAGAGTGGTTGTTTTACTGTGGACGTTGAATGACAGTATTTGTGGTCAGGATCAGTGAGCGATGTGTAGAACCGACGGAGGCAGCCTGGACCAGAATGATGGAGACTGGTTAACTCAGGGATTGCCAGCTTGTAACCTGCAGAAGCTTTCGTAGGCCTACAAGCTGATAACGGAAATAAGGGTTCTGCTGACGGTGTTTCTAGCCTGTCTTCAATAAAGGAGGATATGCCGCGTTTCGCCAGGTTAATAGTTGACAGGGTTTAGTACCTTTGCTTGTTCGAGACTGGCTTTTCTCTGTGTAGCCCTGGCTGTCCTGGAACTTGATCTGTAGATCAGGCTAGCCTCCATCCCAGAGATACATCTGAGTTCTGTGACTAAAGGCACCCACCTCCCACCCCCCCACCCCCAATGCTGTTTAAAGAAATACGATCAAGTCTAAGCACCCACATTTGTCATCTGAACTTTTATTTGGTTTTAGACAGAATCTCTCTATGAAGCCCTGCTAGCTGGCTTGAACTTCATCCACCTCTGCCTACCCTGTGCTATATAGTTAAAGGCATTAGACCCCAGCCAGCTTGTACCTTTTTTACAGTGTATAAATTGGTTAGAGAGAACATCAGGAAGGAAACAAGCATAAGCCTTAGGGACAGTATGCCAACAGTAATTTACTAGGAAGAATGTTTCAGATGAAAGATAAAGGGTTTAAACAACTTTGTTACTATTGTAGACAGTGGCTCATCAGAGAACTCTGTATTCCTTTGGAGAAAGTTTAGGTCTGAGGTACAGATTTAGGAGTACACTACAAATACTTTTAAATCTCTAATCTCTGAGTATAGTGGATTGGCCTTGAAGAAAACTGTGTTCTGAATACTCCCTGGGGAGTTTGAATGACACCCTGTCTAATTAAGGGTGACTTCAAGCTGTGAAAAGTGGGAGAAGAAAGAAGGTCTAGCTGGGTGTGGTGGAACATGCCTGTGGTCCCAGTGGCAGGTGGATCTCTGAATCCAGCCTGGTCTACAGAGCAAGTTCCAGGATAGCCAGGGTCATATAGAGAAACCCTGTCTTGAAAACAAAACAAACCAACCCAACCAACTAAAGTCTGATAGCTATTGGAATACACGCACACGCACACGCACAGGTGTTTATGTAAAAAGTTAACTATAATAATTAGACAGGCTGGGCAGTGATGGCGCACACCTTTAATCCCAGCACTTGGGAGGCAGAAGCAGATGGATTTCTGAGTTTGAGGCCAGTCTGGTCTACAGAGTGAGTTCCAGGACAGCCAGGGCTATACAGCCCTGTCTTGAAAAACAAAACAAAACAAAAAGTTAGACAAGACAAACAACTGTGATATTAGTAGGGTAGGCAGCTTTTACTTCCCACCCAGCTCTTTGCCTCCATTACCCAAACGTAAAATGTCAGTTGACTCTTAACATTCACTTCTGTATTTTAGGAAGAGGCGATATGAGGAGCTGTCCAGCCTTAGCAATTACAAATGCATTTAAAACCACGTGTGCAGCGAAAGAAACTTGTGGTTGATGCCTGCTAGGTGTATGCTCCCTAAAACATAGCAGTTACGCATTCTTCTTAAAAGATTGTTGTAGGCAATCAGTCCATGCAGGGTAATGATTGCTTATTGTTTCTGAATTGTCTTGCATGGGTTTTTAATAGCAAAATAAATAAAAAAAATGTACCTTATTTTAATAAAAGAAAAATTAAAAAGTGATTTAAAAAATAAAAAAATATGCCAGGTGGTGGTGGCGCACGCCTTTAATCCCAGCACTTGGGAGGCAGAGGCAGGCGGATTTCTGAGTTCGAGGCCAGCCTGGTCTACAGAGTGAGTTCCAGGACAGCCAGGACTACACAGAGAAACCCTGTCTCCAATAACAAAAAAAAAAAAAAAAATAAATAAATAAAATAAAAAAATATTTTCTTTTGATGAATATATGTAAAATTTTTAAAATCTTAATTCTTTAGAAAAAGATTTGCTTTTCTTTATCTTTGTATGTTTATGTGGGTATGGATGCCTATGGGGCCCAGAAGAGGGTGTTGGATCTGCTGGAGCTATTCTTTTGGGTGCTTGTGAGCTGTCTGATGCACATGCTGGGACTGACCTCCGGCTATATGCAAGAGCAGCAGGCACTCTTAACTGTAGAACCATCTCACCACCCAGTTCTTATAATGTTTCATAATCTGGAGGAAGACCTACTGCCGTAATTCTGATTTTGCTAATACCGTTGTACTACAATCCAAGGGTTTAGATATAACAAAGCATTGATGTCTTTTAGAGAAATGAATTGTGAAATTTGAACTCTGTTACTTCATAGTACAAGAATCCAAAGAAAAAATTTCAAGACGATAATTTAAAGAACAATTTTAAATGATTCCTCAAAATGTTATAGTTGCTAAAATGTGTTTGCAAATCTGTCGTGTTAATAGACTATCACAACTATCAAAATAATCTGAAGAATGTGTTTATAAAAGGTCAGGAGGTATTTTGTTATATTTAGCATCTAGAATGGAATTCTCAAAGCTAGTTGCTAATAAAGGAAATGTTCTCTGGGATCTCGAGTCCCAAAGCAGTTGACAAACTAAGACCTTTGGAACTTAAGCTTTAGGACAGTTCTCTGTTGCCTGGTCATGGTTTCCCAGCACAGTTTAGGAAGCTAAAGGGTGAAACCTGGACCGAAATACTAAAAACAATTGGATTGGCATTTCAGGAGACTTTTTGTTCCGGCTTAAATGGAAGGTTCTGGATTTTCTGCTTTATTTAGATGCTGATATGGTTTGAAAATATAGCATTAGTTGTTTCAAGGGCTTCTATTCTAGATGGATGAAGTTAGTATAGACAGGTAGCACGATGTTTATTTATTTAATAACAGAGTCTTGTTGTGTGCTCAGACTTGCTATTTAGCTCAGGCTAGTCTTGAATTGGAAATCCTCCTGTCTCTGTCTTCCCAGGCTTGGTATTAAAGGTATATGCCAACATGGCTAGAAAGGACAATTCACGTTTTAACTGCAGATAAATCAGAGTGTCAGTGAGGTCAGACTTTCACTAGGTTCTGCCACATTACCACTGGTGTAAGTCAGTTGTCAAGCCCTAAATCGTAAGTGGGGAAATTGCATGTGCTTCATTAGGTCATTTGAGTGGATTAGTGTGTGCACAGGGTATGCACTAAGACAGAGCATGGCTCTTGTAAGGACATGTTAGCCACTGTTGCTGCTGGTTAAAATAGGTTTGTTTTTTTTTGTTATTCGAGACAGGGTTTCCTCTGCGTAGCCCTGGCTGTCCTGGAACTCACTCTGTAGACCAGGCTGGCCTCGAACTCAGAAATCCGCCTGCCTCTGCCTCCCAAGTGCTGGGATTAAAGGCTTGTGCCACCACCGCCCGGCTAAAATAGATTTTAATAGAATTTAAATGAATTTTTTAAAATATATATTGGTGTAGCCGGTGTTTGTTACTTTGTGGGTATCTTCTTCCTTCTACCCTTCTCCACCCCTTGTCTCCCACCTGTTTAACTTCCTGACACTAGTTAGGAGAGAAAAGGATGTATGTATGTGCAGTACCTGTGTGCCTGGTGCCCATGGAGCCAGAAGAGGGCGTTGGATCCCTTGGAACTAGAGTTACTGACGGTTGTGAGCAGCCATGTGGGTGCTGGGAACTGAACCTAGGTCCCTTGCAAGAGCAACCAGTGCTGTTAACCAATGAAGACCCTCCAGCCCTGTGTATTATTTCTTTTTTAAAAAATTTTTTACATAAGGAGTGACTTGGGAATTTTTTTTTAAAAGATTTTATTTATTTATTTTATATATATGATGAATACACTGTAGCTATCTTCAGACCCACCAGAAGAGGGCATCAGATCCCATTACAGATGGTTGTGAGCCACCATGTGGTTGCTGGGAATTGAACTCAGGACCTCTGGAAGAGCAGTCAGTTCTCTTAACTGCTGAGCCATCTCTCCAGCCAGTGACATGGGAATTGAAAAAGCAAAAAAAACCTTAACCAAAGCTTGTAGACATTATGCAGTGAAACATGGGAAAAGGTAGGTTTGTTGTATACCCTAGCATTTTAGGGTTCTTAAAAATTTTTATTATTTTATTAATTATTTTATTATTTCATATTTGTTTATGTATTTATTATTTGTTGTCTGAGGTGTGCATTAGCACATTTGGAGATCAGAAGGTAAGTTGCAGAGTGGGTTCTTTTTCTGCCTGTAGGACCCTGGAGTTTGCACTCAGCTGGGTGGTAAACACCTTTATGAATTGAGCTTGCTGGTGTATGTTGGAAAAACAATATTTTATTTTAAAGACTCAGTTACTTCCCAGTTTATGACTGCTTGAAATCCATTTTCCCCTACAAAGCTACTTTTATTCAAAATACTTGGTATTTGCATGCATTACTTTCTTTATGTATAT